TAAATTCCGGTATTAATACAATTAGTGATGCTAAATCACCAAGCCACAAAAATACAGGCATATACAGATTGTATCTGCACAAAACATGTTTCTACATGTAATAGGATGTTTTATTAGTATACATAACTCAGACAACTCCGTTCTAAAATGAAGCATGGAAGGAGCTGACTGAACTCTAGATAAATAAATGAAACTTCTATAAGAAAAAAAAAAAAACCATTATTTCACATTAATATTCTCAATTTCCACAAGATTCACGTTGCCTCATGAATTTCATAGGAAAAGAAAAAGAAAAAGGAAAAGGATGAAAAAAGTTACCGAAAAGAACACAGACTGAAGAAATTAAACTAACAAAGAAAATAAAACTTTAAAAAATAAATGAAAAGATTAAAAGCTTAAAGGAAAAGAAGAAATTACCATTGCAGTGTAGTGAAGGAATAGAGCGGTGGTGAACGCGGGAAAAAGTGAGAGATAATCGAGCAGGGAATGAAGAGGTGCGAACAGAAGCAGGGCTTCGATTTCTGAAGGGTAGTGCGAAGCGCAGAGAGGTGTAGAGAGACGGTGAGACAGTGAGAGAATTGGGGGAAACGAGCAGATATGGAGAAGAAGGGCTCTGCATTATTTTTGCTGTTCACTGGAGATACGATAGAGCAAGAGAGACGTTGAGAATTGAGAAAGTGAGATATATTTGGGTGTAAAATCACAGTTCTTAAGCCAATTCACATATTTCTTTTCCGGTCTAATTGAGGAACTAAACTGAAAGTTGTGGTTCAAAAAAAATACTAATATATGAATTTATTTCATATTTTCAATTTTTTTCCCTTGAAAACTTTATGATGTAAAAATAGTAAATTTGTTTAAAAATAAAATTGTTATATCGTTACATGGTGTCTTGATGTTATTCTGAGATTAACTGGTATTTTGCTCACCTCTAGATGTTTCACTTTCCACAAGGGCATATTCTGTTCATGAAAAATGTTTTCCAAAGGAAAATGTTTTCTTTAAATTTGAGGAAAAAGTGGGTATTCCTTTATTTGGTTTATGCAAAACATTTTCCATTGAAAAACATTTTTCATTTTCCATTTTCCATTTTCCATTGAAAAACATTTTCCTAAAAAATGAGGAAAATATTTTCAATGGTCCCCCTGGTATTGTGTTTTCCATGGAAAACAAGTAGGACAATTATACTCTCACCAATTTTTCTTAATTACCATTATTATTATTATTATTATTATTATTATTATTATTATTATTATTATTATTGTTGTTGTTGTTGTTGTTGTTGTTGTTGTTGTTGTTGTTGTTCTTGTTGTTATTATGTAGGGGTATAATTGTCTTTATACTCGTTACTAGTTTTTTACACGTTTTGCGCGAATGAGATAATGCCCAATGATTATTTTTAAATAAGTATTTCAAAGTATATCGATGTAATATTATATAGGAGATGTTTCTGCATTGGTAAATAAATGTTGGATTTGTTTATTTAAATCGGTAATTTAAAGTATATAAATTCAAGATAATATATGATAGATTGATTATAATTGTCACTAAAATAAATGTTTGCAATTTTGTAATAACGCTAGTCTAAATACTTAGTCTTAAAGTGATAGTCTAAATAAATATTACTTTTGGTTTAAATTTCTCTAATTCTTCTTAATTCTCTTTTGGGTTGTCATTGTTTCCATCTTCAGTACATGTCCTCTCTTTTTTTTTTCTTTTTTCTTTTGTCTTTTTATTGGTAGTGTGTCATGTGCAATTAGGTTACTGGTGGCAGCATAGAAGGATTCATCATGCAATAGGATTATGGTGTAGGAAGCTTTAGATTTGCATTGTTGTGTATATGACTAGATTTTAGTTGTAATATAAACTCTTTATCTTACAAACACCCATTGATATTTAGTAGTGGTAATTTTTCCCCTACATGTATCATGTGTTGTGAGATGTGTGTCGTAGATTATCATGTAAAAATATTGAACAAAATATTAATATTTATTATATTTGTATAAAATACTTGGTATATATATATATATATAACATGTTTTGTATTATAACTTTGATATTTAATTATAAGATAATGTAAAAATAAGACAATGGACAATGTAGTGAATATAATAAATTAATGTACCTTCTCTCCCGCTCTGGGTTTCTCTCCATCTCTCCCTTCCTAGGGTTTCTAAGTTTTCCGATCGAAAGTCTTCAGCGATAGCAGAAAACGAAAGCTGATCGTCAAAGCAGGTTTCGCATGGCTTCTCCGGCGTAGCAACAGTGTGATGAGCGGGTAGCTAGGGTGGCAGAGCGGTGGGCTGATATGGCCCTTGAGGATGAGGAAGAAAGAGTCGAGGTCGGAGGGTTTGGTCAGCCAACGGCGGAGGATGGTGCGACGGTCTACTCTGTCGTTGGAAGGTTCTTGACGGCCAAGCTAATTAAAGTTGAGTATATGCGGCAGGTTCTGGCTTCGGTTTGGATGCCTGTGATGGGGATGCGTGTGACGAAGATACACTCTAATCTATTCCTCTTTGCCTTCTACCATGAGACGGACATGGATCGGATGCTTGAGGATGGGCCATGGTTATTTGAAAACCATACGCTCGTATGCCGGCAGGTACGTGATGGGATGCTTCCAGGGGAAGTTAAGTTGGACACTGTTGATATGTGGGTATAGGCCTATGATTTGCCGGTAGGTTATACTTCCAATGTGGTCTTAGAACAAGTCGGAAATTACATCGGAACATTTATCCATTGTGATAACCGGCAAGTTGGCGGACCGATCAAAGTTTTTTACCGTGTTCGCATGGCAGTGCCGGTGGAAAAACCCTTGAAGCGGCATATGAAGTTGATCCGTAGGGACAAGACATATGAACGGCAACATAATTTTTGTTTTTACTACGGAATGCTCGGGCATATGGATAAGTTCTGTCTGAAGGCACGAGTCTCCGAACTCACCCCTGAGTTTTATCCGTATGGAGCGTGGATGAGGGCAGGCCAATCTAGAGGCCCCCGGTCGGTTGGTGCGTCCTAGTTGTTACCGCAGCTTGAGGCAGCCGGACCGCCGACCGCCCAACGAAGCAGTTCGGAACAGACGGCCGACTCGGAGGATGGGCAGGGCGATGTCAAGATGGTCCAGCCATGTGATGATGTGGAGGATGGGGTGGTGGCCTCCTCGAAACGCCGGCGTGTGGCGGTGGGTGGTGGTGGCCAGCTTGAGCTGCCGGTAAGTGAAGAAACGAGTATGGATGGTGGTTCAAAAAACTTGCATATGGCGGGAACTGGTGCCCAGTCCCGCCGGACCCAATGAGTACTTTAAGCGGGAATTGCCGTGGCTTGGGTAATCCACGGACAGTTCGAGAAGTTGTGGACCTTGTGTCTCGTAAGAAACCCGATTTTGTATTTTTAATGGAGACTATGGTGGGACGTGTCACCCTTGGTTTTGATGGTATGTTTTATGTGGATAACAATGGTTTGAGTGACGGCCTAGCATTACTATGGAGGAAAAATAATACGGCGAGCCTGTTGAGTTACTCGAAAACCCATATTGATATTGAGGTAACTATTCCTGGTTTCCCTAACTGGCGTATGACATGTTATTATGGCTTCCCTCAGAGGAACATGCGTAACGAGTCCTGGGATTTATTGAGATCGCTAGTAGGCAGATCTGATCTCCCCTGGGTTGTCGTGGGGGACTTTAATGATTTACTCTATCAGCATGAAAAACGCAGGGGCAACCAGCATTCGATTAGTCTTCTTCGCGATTTTGAGGACACTATTGAGGATTGCGGATTGTCGTAGATGCCTATGGAGGGATATCAGTTTACATGGGAAAAGGGCAAGGATGCAAAACTCGGCCGCCTAGCCGCCTAGGCGGTTAGACGGCCCAAAACCTTGCCGTTTTGGCCTAAAGGCTGCCAAAACTTGGCCGGCCGAGTAAGCGGCCGCCTGGGCGACCGACTCGGCCGAGTTTGGCCCAGTCGGCCGAGTTAATTCAGTTTTTTTATTTGGGTTTTTCGCTCAAAACGACGTCGTTTTGAGCGAAAAACCCAAATAAAAAAATGAATTCTAATTTTGATTTCTAATTTCTAATTTTGACTCCTAACCCTAAGTCACTAACTTCTATTTGTCGTTTCACTCTTGCGAGACGGGACTCGGGAGACCTCCATCTTCGAGTCGACACCCCATCGGATTGATCGAAGCGCCGTCGCCGTCTGGACCTCCATCGAAGCGCCGTCCGTCGCCGTCGAAGCTCCAACTCCAGCTGTGCGTCGCTGTCGGCCCGTCACCGTCGTGGCGTCGTCTGTAAGTTTCCATTCATTTTTGGCTTTCATTTTTGTAAGTTTCCAGCTCGCCGTCGAGGTCATTGATGTTTATGTGCTTGTGACTTGTGTTGACGTGTTGTATATTTGTATTACTTGTATGAGTTGTATCATTGTTGAATTTGGTTGCCAACCATTTCCTACTGGCTAAGTCATTCTTGACTCAAGAGACAAAGAAAGTATAGTGGCCATTCTTGAGACAAACAACACTTCCCACAGTAAATCACTAAATTCACCCATTCTTGATTTTTCTGAATATACACTCTACTGTCCTACTGTCTGTCTGTCTGTAACTCTGTATATACTATATATCCTCTGTAATCTGTAATTCTGTATATATATCCTCTGTAAATCCTCTGTATAAGTTTTATTATTTTTTAATCAAATAACATTTGGTTGAATGCTTGATTATCAAATATTAATATACATATAATGCTTGAATGCTTGATTATTCCTGTAACTTCATCTTTGTAGAAGTAATAGATAGTATTTGAGGTCAAATGAATAAGGAAATTTTTATTTTGACTAAACTTTTTTATCAAATATTTTATTCAATGTTTGTTAAGTGTCAGTGACTATCATTTTAAATTTGATTTTGTATATGCAAATTTTTGGGAGTTCAAATTGGTGTGTTTTTTAATTGCTTTTATTTTGTGTATGATTTTTAGTTATTGTGTATGATTTTTAGTTATAATGGCTTCATCAAGTGTTTCGGCTACTCAAAGTGTTGGATCTTCTGAAGCAACCACACTTAAAAGGAGATCAAATGATGTAGGGTGGGAATATGGTATTTTAGTTGATGGGAAAAAGTTGGATGAAGTAAAATGCTTGTTGTGCGGGAAAGTTTTATCCGGTGGAGTGCATCGAATAAAAGAGCATATTGCTCATATACAAGGAAATGTTAGTCCTCTAAAGCTACTAAAGATGATCAACTTTAGTGTAGAAATGCACTCAATGAAGCCAAGATGAGAAGGAAAAATAAAAAAGTGAATGAAGATTATTTAAGAGCCGTGGTGAATATTGATGGTAGAAGTGAGTCAATTGATGTTGAGGACTTGCAAGGGTCTCTTAGATCTATGAAGCCACCACGTTCACTTGGCCCAATGGATAAGTTTGCAAGTGGCATCAATCCCGAACCTTTCATGAATTTAGGAAAAACATTGCAATAACAGCGTATTGATGGTGCAATATGGAAGGAAAGGTCAAATAAAGTGAAAGGATATATATGTAGATGTGCATATGAGGCCGCTATTCCTTTTCATGCATTTGAAAAAGATAGCTTTAAGATGATGTTAGAAGCAACTGCACAATTTGGTCCCGGAGTTGAATCACCAAGTAGATATGAGATGAGTGAAACATTCTTGAAGAAAGAAGTTGATAAAGTGAAAGAGTCTTTGAAGATACATGAAGAGGAGTGGAAGCAAAATGGATGCTCAATCATGACGGATGCTTGGACCGATAGAAAGAGAAGAAGTGTAATGAATTTGTGTGTGAATTCAACTTTAGGTATCGTTTTCCTTACTTCTAAAGAATGTTCACTTGATTCACACACAAGTGAATATATTTATGAGTTTGTTGAGTATGGTATTGAACAAGTTGGAGTTGAAAATGTTGTTCAAGTTGTCACGGATAATGCCTCAAACAACATGGGAGCTTCAAAGTTGTTGAAAGAGAAAAGACCAACCATCTTTTGGACTTCTTGTGCCACCCACACGATAAATCTAATGCTTCAAAGCATTGGAAATATCCCAAGGTACAAGAAAGTCCTTGATCAAGCAAAGGCTTTAACGATCTTTATTTATGCTCATCACAAGACTTTGGCAATGATGAGAACTTTCACAAACAAGAGAGATATAGTGAGACCCGGTGTGACTAGATTTGCATTTTCATTCCTTACTTTGCAAAGTTTAGCCGAGAAGAAGATTGAACTAAGGGCAATGTTTTCTAGCAATGAATGGGAGGCATGTAAATTTTCCAAGATAGCTAAAGGGAAGGTAGCACACACAACCGTAACAAGTTTGGGATTTTGGCAAGGTGTAACGGCATGTTTGAAGGTTTTTGCACCATTGGTGAGAGTACTTCGACTTGTTGATTGTGATAGCAAGCCATCAATGGGGTTTGTATATGGTGAGCTTATGAGAGCAAAAGAGGAAATCAAACATGCTTTATCCGATGTCCCAAGGAACTATAAATCGATTATTGACATTATTGAAGAAAAAATGAAAGATAGGCTTGACTCTCCTCTTCATTTGATGGCATATTTGTTTAATATTAATCCTTATTACCATTACTAGTCTTTTCTATGCGCAATGCGCAAAAACATCTGCCCAATATTTATATTTTTAAAAATAACTAACAAATTTTTACTAATTAAAATCTAAGTGAAATAAAATTTAATATATTATATTAATCCAATATATAATGAATATATAATGTTTTACAAATATTGTTATCATTAAAGAATATAAGAAAATATATGGTAGATGCATGTGCATGGTAAAAGTGATGGAAAAGATAACAGAAGTTATAACGGTAAAGGTATGTTTGTCCAAAAAATTGTATAGTACAACTCTAAAAGCACAATGTACAAAATGGTTAACATTAAAAACATGGACAAAAATGAGGGATATAACTTTGATTGAGACTTATTATGTTTTTAGATAAGGATCCACAACTTCATTTGGACGAAGTTGTAGCTGTTGGAGTTGTTGATTTTTGTAATATTCTATTCGTCAATGATTTTGAATGCAAAATAAGATTTTAAGTGAAGAATTGTCAAAATATAAGAAGAAGGAGGGGATGTTTGGAAGAAGTATCGCAATCAAAGCATGTGAGGTGAATGATGACAACTTTAATCTAGGTAAGTCATTCTTTATTTTTTAATACTTTATTGTTTACTTAATTATATTTATTTATTTATAGACTTATAGTTATTAATTGTTATGAACTTTGTTTTGTAGCAAATTGGTGGTCAAATTTTGGTACCTCAGCCCTTTTATTGAGAAGAATAGCCATGAAGATTCTTTCTTTAACATCTAGTTCTTCGGGGTGTGAAAGAAATTGGAGCACGTTTGAAGAGGTTAGTAACTTAATATGATATTTTATTTAGTTTGTTATCAACTTGGTATGTTAATATAAATATGAATTATGATAGTTAATACTTTATTAATCATTATTTAAACTTTTGAATATATTTATTACTTGAATTGTAAATACATACAAAGAAGAGAAATAGACTTGAATCAAATCGTCTCAACAATTTAGTTTTTGTCCAATTTAATGCTACTTTGATGAACAAGAGCAAGCAAGATAAAAATATTGAAAAGTTGGTTGGTAGTGATGCAAGTTTAGTACAAGATTGGATTGTGGAAAATCTTGAGAATGATGATACTGAGCCGGGATTGGATTGCAACAATAATGCTATGGAAGTGGATGAAGCATTACAACCCCGTAGAAGTGCTAGATTGGGGGATCTTGATGAAGATAACTTTGAATCGGAAGGGGAAAGTGAGGAGGAAATAAATGAAGTGGAGTTTGAAGATGATGGGCTACATGTTATTGAGCAATATGGACAATATGAAGAAATTGGCAATGATCCTATTCAATCATGATTCACGAATCACTTTGGATTTCAAAACTTTAAAATTTAGACTTAATGTTGAATTTTTGTTGAATGTTAATTATGTTGTAACTTGTAAGTTTAAACTTTAAACAATGATACTTGGATGTTGTTTCACTTGTTTCATTAGTTGGGTGATTAAATGTGGTATTGTTGTTTGAGTAATTGAGTGTTTGACTTGTTTAGTTGTTTGAAGGAAATCAAGGAATGTATGATATTTTTATTATTTGGACGTGCTATTTGATTGAATGTTGAAAATAGTTTCATTAAAATTGTCAAACTGCAAGTCTGTTACTGTTTTTTTAATTTTTTTTAGAGTCTGCCTAGCGCCGCCTAGATTTCGCCTAGGCCCCGCCTAGGAGCTAGGCGCTGCTCGGTCGCCCGACTAGCGCCTACTGCAACCTTGGAAAAGGGACAAGGAACGCCTAACTGGATTGATGAAAGATTGGATAAAGTGCTCACTACGGATGCTTGGCGAAATGTTGTGGTGGGGGCTAGGCTCACGAATTTGCCAACACGAAGATCTGATCACACGACTCTCTTCCTGGGGATCCATGACTCCGTAGGGAGGGGTGGAACTAGCAAGAGGGGTTTCCGTTTGAGATGGCATGGCTGCATGATGACGGATGTAGGGGTGTTGTGGAAAGGTCATGGGAGGAAGGTAGGAGCATGGGCTTGCAGGATTGTATTTTATACTGTGGAGACAAATTGACCCGGTGGGGTGGTGATCTACATCACAAGTTTGGTGACCAGATTAACACCCTGCGAAAGGACCAACAGCGTCTGCGTGGCCACACTGATTCGGTCTCGCTAGCTGAATTTCAGCGCCTGGAGGAGCAGCTGGGTCGTCTTGAGGCTCAGGAGGATATCTATTGGAGACAGAGATCCAAGTAGCATTGGCTCAGGAATGCTAATGCCAATACAAAGTATTATCACGGGTATGCCTCTCATCGTAAGAAAAAGAATACTTTATCTAGACTCATGAATGATGGTGGGGTTTGGGTGGAAAAGGAGGCTATGAACACTGTTATTTTGGATTATTTTAATCATATTTTATGTTCTAGTCACCCTGAGAATGGGGATAGTCTCTTTGCTGGGATATCTCAATGAGTCACCCAAGCACATAATGATTATTTGTTACGATCCTTTGAATTGGAAGAAGTAAAATCTGCGCTGTTTGCAATGTTTCATGATAAGGCACCATGTCCGGATGGAATGAATCCGGGATTCTATCAACATTTCTGGGGTGTAGTAGGGGGATGTTGCCAATTTTGTGATTAACTGCCTGCATTCACGCCAATTCCCTGAGGGGTTAAATGATACGGATGTGGTCTTGATCCCCCCCCAAAAAAAAGATATCCCTCAAATAGTTACTGATCTTAGACCGATAGCTCTAAGTAATGTTGTGTATAGGGTTATGGCTAAAATGATAACGAATAGGATGGAGCCTATGATGGAGGAAATTATATCTGACTCACAAAGTGTCTTTATCCCGGACAGACTTATAACTGATAATATCTTCCTAGCAACAGTAGTGGGTCATTTTTTGAACAGAAAGTAGTGTGGGGTTGCAGGATGGAGTGCTCTCAAGCTGGATATGGCGAAAGCATATGACCGATGGAGTCGTCCTTCCTGCGTGGCATGCTCTTGGCACTAGGTTTTGATCCTAGTTGGGTGGATTTGATTATGCTGTGTGTAACTACAGTGTCCTACAATTTTCTGATAAATGGCACGCGTAGCGCCCCAGTTCTACCCACTCGTGGCTTGAGATAGGGTGACCTTCTATCCTTATCTCTTCATTATCTGTGCAGAGGGTCTTTCTCTGTTATTGCAGCAAGCGCAGAATGATGGTTCTATGCATGGTTGCAGAGTGGCAAGGGGACCCACACCTCCCCCCCATCTCTCACTTGTTTTTTGCAGATGATAGTTTTTTAGTTTTTAAGGCCAATGCACAAGAGGCTAGTAAGATAAAGGATTGTCTAGCTGTGTATGAAAAAATGTTTGGGCAGGTGGTTAATTATCATAAGTCAAGTATATGTTACAACAGAAATACGGGTGTAATGGATAGAATGGAGGTAGCTCAAATTCTAGGGGTGGTACATGCACCTAACTTTGGGAAATATTTTGGGCTCCCATCGTTTGTGGGGAGAAATAAAAGGGCGGCTTTCTCGTATATTGAGGATAAAATAAGGCAAAGAATTGGATCATGGAGTAAAAAGTTATTATCACAGGCAGGCAAGGAGATTTTATTGAAAAGTGTAGCACAATCTATGCCTACATTTTCAATGAGTGTCTTTCTGTTGCCTATATCTGTCCACACAGCCATTGAGCGGACCATGAACCGTTACTGGTGGAGATCGGGTATTGACCATGGAATACACTGGAAGGCTTGGGACAAATTATGTATTCCAAAGAAACATGGAGGCCTGGGTTTCAAGGAGTTGCGTGCCTTTAACCTAGCTATGTTAGGTATACAGGCATGGAAGATGCTTACTAAGCATGAATCATTGGTAGCCCGAGTTTATAAAGAAAGGTATTACCCCAATGGTTCACTTTTTGATGCCCAAATAAGAAATAACCCCAGTTTCTGTTGGCGTAGTATAATGGCAGCCAAAGGTCTAATTTGTAGTGGTGTGTTTCTGTTGGCGTAGTATAATGGCAGCCAAAGGTCTAATCTGTAGCGGTGTGAGACGTAGGATTGGGAATGGAGAAAATACGCTGATATGGGATCATCAATGGTTACAGGATGACCAGGAACCTATGATACTGAGATGCCTATGCAACTGGTAGAGCCCAAGGTGGTAGGATTGATTGATCAAGAAACTGGTTCATGGGATCATTCCATACTAACTGATTTATTCCAACCTGTCGATGTTACAAATATTATGAGAATACCTATCTCCCCTGATTATAATGATACTTGGTATTGGCACGGAGACCAGAAAGGAATGTATTCGGTAAAAAGTGGATATAAGCGTATTGTGGGAAATTATGAAGATAGGGAGGGGGGTTTGAATAAATGTTTGCTCTATGGAAGCTCAAAATCCCCCCAAGTGGAAGACATTTCTTTGGAGAGCTATTAGTGATATTCTCCCCACTACTACAAATTTACTTATAAAGAGAGTGGATGTGGATCCAAGGTGTGCTATGTGTGGAATATTTCATGAAAACACTATGCATGCCTTGGTGTTATGTGATTATGCAAAAGCCATTTGGGGACTATCCAACCTTCCAATACCCAATTTTGTGAGAAATATTTTTCATTATTGGTTTGGTGATCTTCTAGATGTTCTTGACTCTAATGGAACTAGTTATCAACCCGTGCGATGCACGGACAAAAAATAAAGTGTATATATATATATATATATATATATATATATATATATATATATATATATATATATATATATATATATATATATATATATATATATATATATATATATATATATATATATATATATATATAAAAGAGTAAAAGACATTTTTGGTCCTAGACTTATAGTGACACGGACGATTTTAGTCCTTTATAAAAAAATCAGACAATTTATAGACACTCTTATTGTGACGAGGACAATTTTAGTCCTCCGTCACTTTTCACGTTAGATGTCCCGTTAAAGAGGGGGTATTTGCGTCTTTTCGTCATACCTCCTCTTTATTCCCTCACTGAGTTTTGTGTTCTTCATTGCAGATTCACGAAGAAGAAATTGAAGTCGGCGTTTAGAGAACTTATAATAAGTGCCTGAAAGAACATGGGTATTAAATTAGCTAGCAGATCAGATATGGGTTCAAGTTCATCTAAAATCGCACACGATTTCTTCCCCTTTGTAGGTCTGAAGATTAGAACAGGTTTAATTTTCACCTTGAAAATTTTGTTTTGGGTGAAATCTCAATACAAATATATTTTTGCTTTCTGGTTGGAATCTGAGAGTTTGAATAATTGAGAGAGAGAGAGAGAGATCTTTTTAAGGATTGATTGAAAAATGAAATAATCAAGTAGTACAAAGTTCATTTTTTTAATCTCTGTACCGATTTGAGTTCACCGAACAGGTCCGGGTTGGAGATGAATTCCTTCATCTTAGCGGCGCGAGGGTGGTGCATCAACATGGTAGCGTCCATAAGTTGCAACCCATTGGATTCGAATGCTTCCAAAATCGTATCGAATTCCTTGGAATTCAGCGCCACAAGCTTCTCGAGCAACAAGTGTTTCTGCTTCTGGGCAGCCAAGACAGCCCACTTGGAATGCAAAGCCGTCGGGAGGGGCATATAGACGGCGTCGACATCCGGACCATCAAGAACGGCTTCGTAACTGCCGTAGACCTTAGCGAAAGCCGGGAAACCATCATCGGCGGCAAATTTCTTGGCCTTTTCGAGACTGCGACTGCCGACGGCGTGAAGGGTGGCACTCTGTGATAGACTGCGGCTGCCGACGGCGATTTCGACACACCCGATGATTCCGATTTGAATCGGCGGCGAAACCAACATTTTCTATGCGAGTGGTTTAAGGTGCTCAGTGTGTGGAGTGCTCGAGATTCGAGAAACGGAGCAGGATTGAAATTGTGAAGACCACTGGCTAATTTTACTGCAATTGCAACAACTATAGTGGTGTGTGGTATGTGGTATTAGCAGTGTGGTCGGCAACTTCAATTTCTTCTTCGTGAATCTGCAATGAAGAACACAAAACTCAGTGAGGGAATAAAGAGGAGGTATGACGAAAAGACGCAAATACCCCTTCCTTAACGGGACATCTAACGTGAAAAGTGACGGAGGACCAAAATTGTCCTCGTCACAATAAGAGTGTCTACAAATTGTCTGATTTTTTTATAAAGGACTAAAATTGTCCGTGCCACTATAAGTCTAGGACCAAAAATGTCTTTTACTCTATATAAAATGTATGTTGCAAAAAAAGAAAGAACATACAAAACTTATATATTATTAAATACTTCTTTATATACAACATTGACGTTGAAGAAACATATTCTCCATTGTCATTGCAAATACGTAACTTGGCCATTTGGATTGCTAACTCTGGACAAAGTCACGTAAAGTTGTCCATGAACAAAAATAGATTTTTTCAGTAATAGCCCAACTGTAGACATTGTTTGACCTTTGCTCTTGTTAGCATACGACAACATTAAGGGAAATTGCCTCCGCTGAAATTTAAACGGTAACTTTGGATCTGATGGAGTCAATGACAATCTTGGAATCAACACCTTTGTTCCTGCATTACTTCCGAATAGAATTTTTGCTTCGACAACGTGGTCTCCTAGTTTATAAATCATTAACCTCGTGCCATTGCACAAACCAGTGGAATGATCTATATTTCGAAGTAACATAACTGGAGACCCAATTTTTAAAGCCAACGAATGGTTAGGCACACCGGAGCACTTCAACCCGTTTAAGAACTTCGGGGTGTGATGAGCGGCGATTGAATCATGAGTGCTTATTGAGTCAGAGCTAAAATATGTTCGACATTCTGCCACGTTCATATTACTCATAGAAAACGCAGACCTAAAAACTCCGGCAAATAATTGTCCATGAAAATTTGACCTATGCACAACACGATATTCACAACGAACATCGGAACCCACTTGGTCATCACAATTTTCTAAATCAATTAAATATATGGGACATTTAATCATTAAGTATGTAATCAAACGATATAATTAAAATAAAATTAGTAATTTATAAACCTTTCAGAAAAATTGGATAATTAAATTAAAAATACAATATGTTAAAACTACCAAAATAAAAATAATAGGCCAATACTTATAGTCACCATTATCTATATCAATTAAACATAAATAACATTTCATTACTAATTATGTACTTAACAAACATAGTTAAAATAAAATTATTAATTCATAAACATTTTATAAAAATAGTTAAATTAAATTAACAATGCAATTTTCAAAAAAAAAAAAAAAAAAATTTAACAATGCAATGTCTTAAAATAAACAAATAACAACTTAAAGCCCAACAATTATATTATAGTCTAAAAAGCAACAGCCCAACAAAAACATACCTTTGATCCAAACCCGACCCACTCTACCCGAACCGCATCCCCAACCCGCTTACAAGATAAACAAAACAAATCCACCCACCGTCTTCTCTCAGATCACCGACGATACATCCGCCCTAAACACTCCGCCATCTCTCTACAATTAGACCACAGCTCTGCCGTGGCCCTCCGCTACCCGCCGGAAATGAAGAAAAATTTCACTCACCTCGCCGACCACAACATTCTGCCCTCCGCCCTCAAACCTCCGCACTCAAACCTCACAACTCATTTCACTCACATCTTCGACGAAAACCCGATGAGCTCAAATCGCTCAAATCTCTACACTCTATCTACAATCCTACAAACACACAACCTCAACTACAAAAATTTCAGTTTATTTCACTCAGTTCTCCATCCACAACCCTCAACTCTAAAACACCCGCCATCTCTCTAAACATCTACAAGCACACACTCTGACAGACACAAATTACACATCATTTCACTGCGATTCACGGATTACACGCACAAACACAAAACCCCTTCAACGCTAAATTCACTCTCAAGGAAATCAAAGAAGCAGTTCGGACCATCTACAATCTCAACCGGAGAAACTACAGAAAATCCACAAAAACGTAAGTCTAAAAACCCTTTCGACTTAAATTTTTTTCTTACATTTTTTATGATTATTCAACATGCAGGATATAAATATTTATAAATTTGTATATATAAGCTTTAGAATATATAATTTTAATTTCTGTCACAAATTTATGTATTTCATTATGCCTTAAACCTATTGTTTAAAAAAAAAAAATTATTTCCTATATTAATATGCATCCTTAGGGTTTCAGATTCCCTGGATTTTTGTAAAGCTATAGAGACTATAGTTAGATTTTTTTTGACTATTTTAATACATAGCATATTTCCTTTTTCGACTGAAAAAATTTATAGCTAGCAACACAAAAATAAAAATTAATACATAGCATATTTTCTTTTTCCACATATCGTAGTTGATCCCGTCAATTTCTTCATTCTTACTACAATTATTCACTATGCAATCACATTAATGGTAGATTCTTTGTTAGTCTTAAATGAGTTGTATATAGATGATTAGTGGAGAATATAGATGATTCTTTGTTAGTCTTAAATGAGTTGTATATATAGATATCAAATTGTAGAGAATTGAAAAGTCACTATCACACATTAGTTTTACAAAGTCAAAACTTACCATCAGCAATTAATGCTTGATACTTATAGTATGACTATGTCTATAAATAGTAGAAATATAGTATGTATTGGATTTTGTGTAACTTGATTATACTCAATTAAGTTGATAGCTATTTTTAGGAATTGAAATAACAAAAAAATCATTTCAAAATCATATCAGATTTGTTTTTTTTTTTTCAACATCTGCACTCAGATTTGCAGCATCTGTTGCAGTTTAGATCATCTCACAGCCCTCCACCTTCATAACATTCCATTTCATATGAGAAATCCTCTTCCAATGTGGAATCATTCTCATGGCAGTAGCAACCCTTAACTTTTAGAACCTTCAGGTTGCTGCTGCAGATTAGAAGCCATCATCAACCCATCTTCATCATCTTGACCTGTTTTAGCAGCTCAGATTTCATTTATAACCCACCACCTTATTGGGTGGACCTCCTTATTCCTTCCGTTCTCTCATTTTCCCAGAAATCCAGATCCAAATTTATCCCATAGGTTCAGAGTGTACCTCTGTATTCAGCACCATACTGCATTGCAAAATTGTTTAAGCATGAAGAGACCACCATGTAGATGGTCTTCCTTATTCCTCCATCAACTTTTCCCTTTCTCTCTCTTTTTTTTTTTTTTTTTTTTTTTTTTTTTTTTTTTTTTTTTTAAGAACAACAGCCCTCCACTGTAAGTCTCAAGCTGCTGCACATCAAATTCCAGTCTCTTGCAACTCAAATCAGTCCAACATCTCTATTTTTTACTAAACCTTTGAGTTTATCTAAGTACAACTCCTTTGTTTTTTGCACTATTTCCCCTTTTCAAGTTCTAATTTTTTTCACACACCTTTTTTCTTTTTCAATTCACTTCAAGTTCTGATGCCATGAAATTACATACATTTTTCAAGTTCTAATTTTGAGTGGTGATTCTAGTGTCTATTTGGTCAAGAAAAAATGAAAACCAATGTGCTAGTGGTTACTATATGATTGATTTGTTGATTAATATGTGTATGTGTTATTATCGATCTAAGTAGCTAGGCATAATGTCTATTTGGTTTGATAGAATATGAAAATTTAGGTGCTAATTTTTTTCCCATAATTTCTTGTGGTATTATCATTTGTTGAGTAATGTCTTTCTATCATCTATATCAAATTGTAGATCAAACTAATAGGGCAAAGTCTAAGTGTAAAATAACAAAATGAGGTGTGGTTTTCAATCTGTAACTTAGAGGCAACTTCCTCATTTGTTAGTTTTTTTTTTTTTTTTTTTTGTTTTTTTTTTTGTTTTTTTTTTTTTTTTTTTGTTGCCACTGTTTACATGTTTTGCTATGATATTACCTAATCATGATAGGCAAATGGTTCTAAAAGTGTATGCACATGGATGAACATACCCTATATTTCAAAGAACCAAAATAACATAGTTAGAGTAAAAATTATAAGGTAATGTAGGAATAACACATGTTCATCTACGAACACGCACTCTTGGCTTCTTATGTTGTTTTCTCCCTTTGTTTCAGTGACCACATAATTCCTTACACAACGCAGCTTAATTGCCTTCGTAGTAAGCTGTGGATGAAGGTTTGCACCAAGGATGAATTGCCCAGACATCCGAGATGTTTCAGAGATGGTCACTGCAAAGCTTACTGTAAATTGTATTGTTTTGGGTTTCACTACTCTCTTCGCGTACTTGTAAAATTATGTCTCATTGTGTATGTATATATGGCCCCGGAAATCACCTCCTATACGTATTATTATATTGGAAAATATATAGGCTTGACAGCAATCCCATACCCCTAAAAACTGAGACTTCACGCATAGTATGAAGAAGCCCATGCCCATACCAATACTAACTCTACAATAGGCCAACAACCTAAAAATTAGGCTAAAAATCTCACGCAAAATCTGATATGATCTGATTATTAAATAATAAAAAATAAATCCAAAGTAGGTAGGACATTCTTAGATTTGAATCAGCAAAAAAAAAAAAAAAAAACAAAAAAACAAAAAAACAAAAAAAACAAAACACCAAAACGGTGTAATTTTCCATGGGTGGGAAAATGAAGCCATTTGATTGGCTGAAAATTAGTGACCTTTATATGTATATAGATATTATATGCAACAACTATACTATATCACATATGGCGAGCAAGGAATGGAGCGGTGTGGGATGCCTGTCTTCCACGCCCAAGGAGTCTGATTGCGGCAGCCATCGCAACCATGCAAGCATGGCAGCGAGCTCATCACGTCCACACCGTAGCAGCGGCGTCGGTAGATCAGCTTGCCGATCCAACCAATGCACCGCCGATGCTACAGGGCAGTTCACCACCGTGGCAGCGGCGATAGCCACCCCACAACCGAGGATTTGCCGCTTTGATGCAGGTTATCTCCACGAGTCAGGCAGGGCAACAACAAGTGCAGTCCTCCTCTATGCGAACAGAGAATATATTGCTATATTCGGTATGCCCCTTCAGAATTGTTTCTCACAGCTCATGGCCGAGGCAATTGCATGCAAGGAAGTTCTGTCATGGCTAAAGAATCTGGGAGATGTGTCTGTAAAGCTTTATACAGATTGCCTCACACTACAGCATTATCTCACTTCGCCACCATCTGTGTTCCGGTCGTACGTTGGCTATGCTATCGATAGTTGTCGAGCAGCTACAACTGAGTTTGTTTTTTGCTCATTTAATTTTATTCTTAGATTAAACAATTACTTAGCACATGCTTTAGTATCTACAACGTTTCATACTACTATGTATTGAGATTTAATCCCTCCTGACATTATTGTGGCTTATTTCTAATGAAAGTACCACTTATCCTTCAAAAAAAAAAATAATAAATTAATAAATTTGAAGGTAAGAAATCTTTGAATTCTAGAAAATAAAGATAATATAACTAATGAAATTATATCGCTTCTAAAATTTTTAATAATGAATAATTTTTTTAAATAAAGCATTATAGATATCTAATTCTAAATTATTTAAATGCATATGCATTATTTTTTGTTGTAACTACTAATTTATTTAATTTACATACTTTTTATTTACAACATTGAAATCAATGATTTTTTTCTTTTTTAATTTCCATTCCTTGTTGAGACAAATTGTTTTGAGAGTTTGTCAATGACAATTGTTACAATTGCTGTCAATAGAGGATGATAATAAATAATTCAAAATATATATGGTTACAATAGATATTGTTATAATGATATAGTAAAAATTAACTTACAAATTTCTTTAGAAGTTTTCATGCATTAATAAAATTTCGATGTGTAAACTTGTTTAATTGGAGCTAGTAGGATGGTAACATTGTCAATTATTTGAAAAATGGTCCTGCCGTTTTAGAGTCCATGTGTAATTGTATTTATGATCAACAACTTTGTAGTTAGGCCGCACAGGTCTGAAAACGATATAAGAACAATTTTGTTCAATAAAAAAAATAATAGTATAATATTTGTAAAGTAATGTACAATTGTACCATTATAAAAAAAATATTAATACCATAATGACCTAAATCATTCCAATAATGCAAAAGCATAATTGAAATATTAAGTTTTGTTCTAAATAATTAAAGGAAGATTAATTAAACATTAAAAAAAAACCTTAACCTAATTTTTCTTCAAGAAAATCAAATGATTTTTAAAGTTCCTAATTTATAATCTGTGATGCTCAACTTTGGATACTATGTATTTAGTCGGACTAATTATTTGACCAAAGTTTATGTTAAATTTTATATTATATATATTTTTAATACATTTTAACATATTCATAATATATGTTTAACAATTATGCCAACTTTAAGTGGGATGGGGTTCGAACCTAAAACCTTTCATATATAAATTAATGAGTATGTTAAGAATAATAAATAGTTAACGGAATATCCCGTTACTAAAGTTTATACTAACGGAATTTAAGGTTATTTAATGGAAGAAAATAATATAATAGAGGGTAAATAAAGAAAATTATTTTTAAAAAAATACTAAAATCAAAATAATATGAACCATTCATTTTAAGAAACAACTACTACGGACATTTTTTTTTTTTTGGTTCCAGTTAAGGGCTTAAGCTCTTATTAGATTTGTAGATTCCTTACAATTTCAAACTCAACCAAACAATAGAATCGATATTCGAGTAATTTATTTTTCACCAACCAAACAATGTAATTAATTTTTGCAGTAATTTCTTTTCTATTGAATTTCAATTCTATATCCCTTCAAATATTTTCCGCGAACTAAATAGCACCTAATTGGTCAATGCTCAAGTTTGGAGAAGTTCTTGTCTCCTATTGACTTTAAACGGTAAATGTTGATCTTTATTATTTTTCATCTCCTAAGTGCAATCGCATTTTTTTTTTATTGGGATTTTGCAAAGGAAAAAATAGAGAGAATAAAATAATAGAGTATTGCAAATATGTTGATATGGCGGTGAAGTCTTTTTTTTTTTTTTTTTTTTTTTTCTTTTTTGGAAAAGAGAGAGGATTGCAACAATAAAGATAACTTTAGAACAAAACACCTAAAATTCTTGGAAGGATTACAATTTGCTTGGGGAGGGTGGCTTCCAATGAGTTGAAGTTGAGACAGATTTGATGTAGTGAATTGGTTAAAAAAGTTAAGAGCATATTGTTGAGATTAGTGGGACGGACTTTGGACTTTGGAGATGTGTAGGGAGATGATGTAGATCTAAGAACAAAATATAGTAATTCACTCTTCACCTGAAATTAAAGCTGTTAACGAATCGAATATAAATGAATAGAGGCTGTTCGTGCTCGTTTGTTAAGTTTTTTGGGGTGTTCGTGTTTGTTTGTTAAGATTTTTGAAAATCCTATTCGTGTTCGTTTGTTAATCGTTTATTAGTATTCGTTAATGTTCGCGAACATGTTCGTTAACGATCACGTTCGTGAACATGTTCAATAACGTTAATGAATATGTTCATGAACATGACACGTTCACGAACATATTTATTAACGTTAACAAACATGAACACGTTCACAAACAATAACCAAATAATTGAAATAAACAAAATAAGTATATATAATAAAAATAATAAAAAACAAGATTAAAAAAAATACACAAACTGTTTGTTAATATTACAAGCCAAAAACATAAAAAGTAAATTCAAGTTAAGATGATGAGCTCGAGCTCTCGCCGAGGCAGTCATACCCTCCCCTAGAACAGAGGAGTACGACCCCGACACCAACGACGAGCACCACCGAGCCTGCCTCCACCTGGTGGATGATAAGAGAAAGGCGGCGGCAATCCGAGTTGAAAACTACCAGAGACAAACAAAGGCCTACCACGACAAACGTGTTTGACCCCGCTATTTTCAGGCGGGCGATTATGTATTGAGGAACAGAGAAGCAAGCCAGCCCCAGACGGGAGCAAATTTGCAGCCAAATGGGAAGGACTAGGGGTGTTTAATCGGTTAACCGAATCGTTTTAACCAAACCAAATTAATCGATTTTTTTAAACATTTAACCATTAACCGAACCAAATTTTGTGTTACCGAATTAACCGAACAGAAATTTTTTTCGGTTAATCGATCAGTTAACCTATTGACCGAACTTTTTAAAGCTAAAATTTAAAATCT